GCCCGCCTTCCAGTCCCCGCCCGCAGCACTGCGGTTCCCCGGTCCTTTGACGCCCCGCACCCAGCCCTCCGCGAGGTCGCAGGGCAGAGATTCCCTCCAGCCGGCGGTCATCCGTCCTCTCGCCGCAATTTCACCGCCCCCACCCCACGCCTTGGCGAGCTCGGTTTGGGGACGTCTGTGTGGAGAGCAGAACCCAAGGCTGGCTGTCCTTGGCGCCCTTCCTCCAGGTTCTCCTCCTGCGCCCCAGCCCCAGACAGCCGTCCCTTCAGCGGGCGAGAGCCCGGGAGCTCCTACCGCAGAAGGCGGGGTGCGGCCCGGCCCCTGGCCTGCAGCGAGCAGTTGCGTCCCGCTCTCCGCTGCCTGGGAAGCCGACCCCTCCCCGAGCACCGCGGAGCTCCCTGCCGGGGCGCCCCCGAACCTTTTCCCGAAGCCTCGGGTCGGGAGGGCCTCTCCCAGCGCCCCGGGCGCCGCCCTGGCTCCTGCTCCCACCTGGGCTCCCGTCCTCTGCTGCTGCAGCCTCCCCCGGACGCACCGCCGCCTCCAGTTGCAGCACTCTGCCGGCGCCCCGCAGTTTTCACCCGGGGTGGGAGTGGAGGAGCGGGGAGGGCCCGGGACTCGGCCAATCAGAGCCCGAGTGGGGAGTGGGGGGGAGCGAGGAAGGATGGCAGAGGGCGGAGGAGGTAGCCTGGTATAGATGTGGGAGAGTGGCCGTCTGCCGCAGAAGGGGGACCTCACCCTGTGGCCGGCAGGCCAGGCCAGGGACAAGAGGGTTCAGGACCCCGGGGATCCGGGTGGGGCAGCGCAAGGAACACTAGGCGCTGCCCAGAACCCCGAAATGATTGCTCCCCTTTTAAGGCTTTAACCCTTTCTTCCGACCGGCCGAGGCTTCAGAAGCCTGTGGGAAAACCAAGGGGTAAGGGGTGGAGGCGGCAGGGCAGCCACCCGCCCCTTTGGTCAGTGCCCACGCCTCCTCCTGCCTCCTCCTTTCCTTTTCGGCTGGAGCCCATCTCCCTGGAGCCTCCAGTGAGAAGTTTTGGAGTTGGAATATTCCAGGCTTTCTCCAAAGGAAGATGGCGGGGTGTTTTTCCACATTGGAGCAGCTCTTCAGAAGCAAGGCAGGCACTGCGTCCTGCCGGTCCTTCCTGATCCTGAGCCCTGCCCCACTCCCTCCTCCATCCTAGAACACCTAACCCTTTCGGGGGCTTTCTGCTCTGGGGCATTCAGTCTCCCTCTACTCCTGGACTGGCACCTCCCAGGGCAGATAGCCAGAAGGTTCTTCTCGATTTCATATAGTCCTCCTGATCCTAGGCACCCCTCCCCCCCACCGCCCCCTGCGTAGTGAGTAACTGCTTGCTTGGTCTTCAGACAGGGGCAGGAGTACTGGTTTCTGCCAGACATTGTGCCGGGCACATGACATCCCTGGCTGTGCTGACCTCACAACGGTATGTGGGGTTCGTCCCATCCCACTCCCAGTCCTATTTCGTGGAGTGGGAGAGCTGACCAGCCCACCTGAGCTGTGTGTGGAACCCTCGGTCCTCAGTGCTGAGCCACTCAGCTGCTGTGTCTCAGCCCAGTGGGACGGGACAATGTGGAACTGTGGGGGAAGGGGAAAAGACAGGACCGCTAGAAAGGAATGGAGGAAACTAGGCTTTTGATTCCCTGGGGCATCCACCCTAGCTCAATCAATTTCAAGTCACCAGAAGCCCTTGGATCTTTTTTTCTTTTTTTCTTTTTTGGTGGCCAGTGCCAATGACTTGTCGCTCCCACCCACAGGTGAGGTGAATTTCTTTGAATGAAGGTTTATTTGTTTGATTTGCATCTTCATGGCCTTTTTGTGAATTCTGGTTGGGACATCCAGTAGGCTGGCCCTGCCTCCCGGCCATCTGCCTGCCCCTTCTCCTATTTCTTCATAGCAGTCAGCCCTGGCACCTTAACTGCAGTTTCCATTACTGCAGTAGCACTGTTGGAAGTCATCCCTGGGCTAGCAAGTGGGAGATTTACTTCCCTCTCCCTCCCTGGGAGGTTAGGTGGCCTCCTAGTACTGAGAATGATGGAACCTTCCAACTGCAAGGAGCTTTGAGGATGGTCCAGTGTAGGGGTAATTCACTGTGGTAAATAGCAGAAGCTCTGGGGGCATTTTATGAAAAATGCAGTCGTCCCTGCCCACCTGGGGTCTCCCTAGTCCAGTATTCCTGCTGCCTGTGTCTGCACTTTTCACAGGCTCCCCAGGGTCTGGGAACTGCAGAACACTGGCCTAATAAGATCATCCCTCTTCCATAGATCAGGCAGTCTGGCTTCTCATTGTCTGTAGGATAATTTTTAAGGGCCTGGGTGTCCTGGCTGTCAGCCTTCACCACCATTTCATCTTGTCCATTTATCTTCCTGCTACATGCCAGAAAGGCTGGCCTCCTCCCTGTCACTCCCTGCATTGTGTTCTTTTTTTGCCTAACAGCTTTCTGATTCTCAGTCCAGGGACCTTTCCTATCAGAGCACAGTTGCTTTAGGCTGGGGCCTATCCCTCTTCTCTCTCTTTCTCTCTCTCTCTCATACACACACACACACACACACACACACACAGGTGGGACTGGAGACTGTTCCTTTTTTGGCAGAACATGGGGATACCCAGAGGCATTTTAACTACAGAAGCTATCAGGGCTCTGGCTGGACGAGACCCTGGATGCTCTTCCCCACGCTGTGGCCGAGTCTCTGAGCGTTGTTGGATGGAAAGCTTTGCTGTGCTATTTTGATGAGGTTATGAGGACCTGGCCTCCTT